TGTCAAGTCATGATCTTACTCTTCGTGAGGTCGAGTCCTACATTGGGCTCAGCGCTAACAGTGCTGAGAGTGCTTGGGATTCTCTCTCCCACTCTCTCTGACCCTCCCCACTTGCACATGCGTGTGCACAGATGCACTCTCTCTCAAAAATAAATAAACTTTATTATCATTAAATTTTTTAAAAAAAATTTCTAGGGGACAGAGAGAGAGAGACAGCGTGAGCAGAGGAGGGTCAGAGAGAGAGGGAGTCACAGACTGAAACAGGCTCCAGGCTCTGAGCTGGCAGTCAGCACAGAGCCTGACGCGGGGCTCGAACCCACGAACCGCGAGATCATGACCTAAGCGAAAGTCGGACGCTTAACCGACTAGGCCACCCAGGCGCCCCTATTATTAAAATTTTTAATGTTTATTTTTGAGAGAGAGAGAGAGAGAGAGAGAGAGCATGAGCATGAGCAGGGGAGGGGCAGAGAGAGAGGGAGGCACAGAATCTGAAGCAGGCTCCAGGCTCTGAGCTGTCAGCACAGAGCTCAACGTGGGGCTCAAACCCATGAACTGTGAGATCATCACTTGTGCTGAATTTGGACACTTAACCGACTGAGCCACCCAGGTACCCCACAAAATAAATAAACTTAAAAAAATTTTCCCAGAAAACAATTATTCTTAAAAGGAAATCTTATTAAATTAATGCTTAGGAGATTTATTGGTCTAAAATGAATTAATTGCTATTATTAGATTTGTGTTTCAATTTCTAATATGGTAGATACTAGTTTTGGGATTTTCCATTTTTATATGTATAAAGGGCCAAAAAACTTAAAAACCTGCTCCTGTGCAATTCTTTTTACTTGTAGTTCTCTTTTCTGCCTAGAGAAATCCTACACATAATTGTTAGTTGTTATTTAGTTATTCATTAAAAAAACATTGAGCATCTATCAAGAACCTGGCTTTTGCTTGCTGCTGGGGATGTGGTCCCAAGTCCTTATTGACACCCTAGTTTGATAAGGAAGACAAATAAAACAGAACTACAACACAATATGATAAATGTTGTTGGTGATAGACACATGAATGCTGGGGGAATACAGGCTATTGTCAGAATCACTTGCTAACTCATCTGGAACATATGATTGATCGATTTGGTTGGATTGTACGTACTCTGTTTGATTCTTCATAGTCTGATAGGGAGAGTGGCTGAGGTTAGCAGCGAACTGTTCACGTGTTGCTCTGGAAGGAAAGAAGGAAACTACAAATGTATTGATTGACAGCTTCTTGCAAGCCCTATGCTATGCTAGGCGTTGGAACAAATGTGGTCTTAATTTTCACAAAAACCCTGTCAACAGAGATAATCATCCTCAATTTGCAAATGAAGTATTGGAGTCTCAGAAAAGTTGAACATCCTGTCCAACATCATATAGGTGTAACTAATGGAGCTAGAATTTTGTCGTATGTTCTGACTCCAAGTCCAGGGCTCTTTTATTAATAATGTGTTGCTAAATGGGTGGATCTTCTAAGGTATTTCCAGATGGCTCTGGGAAACCTTGCCAGATTGGAATGTAGAAGAGAAGACAGAAGAGGTTTCAGGAAGGAGAGAGTCTAGGAAATGCTCGGTAGGAGGAGTAATTTGTGATTTTTAGCTAACATGGTTTTTCTGGATAGGAAAAACTTGATGGCCTTATGGGACATCAAGATTTTGTACTCCTTTATTCTCAATCCCTTAAATGCTTCTCTATGACAGATGATGCCAGCAACAAAGGTCACCTGTCTGCCTGATCAGTTTACAAACCAGAGCCTCGCATTTGAAGCCTAAACTTCTCGGACCTGTCATAGCCCTTTGGGAGAGGGTATGGCTGACCTTAGGCCACTGGTGCCCAGCCTGGAGGCCCCCAGTCCCTAGAGCTTAGCATTTAAAAAAGCTTATTATGGGCACCTGGGTAGCTCAGTCAGTTAAGTGTCTGACTTGGGCTCTGGTCAGAATCTCCAGGTTTGTGAGTTCGAGCCCTGCGTTGGGCTTTGTGATAACACTCAGAACCTAGAGACTGTTTCAGATTCTGTGGCTCCCTCTCTCCCTGCCTCTCCCATTCACACTCTGTCTCTCTCTCTCTCTCAAAAAATAAGTAAACTTTAAAAAAAAGCCTATTAGAAATTGAGCTTTACTGATGATAAACCTGTTTGTGGATACAGGCTAATGAAAAGATTGTATTTCTTTGCTTTAAGTTGGAAATCTGTCAACCTAATGTGGTTCAGGTGTGCTACCTAAGGTTTTCTAGAACAAAGGTCAGCAAACTATGACCCTGGGGTCAAATCCAGCCCACTGCCTGTTTTTGTGAATAAAGTTTTATTAGAACACAGCTAAGCTCATTTACTAATGTTTTGTCTCTGGTGGCTTTTGTGCTCTATGACAGAGTTAAGTAGTTGTAACAGAGACTGTATGGCTCATTAATACTGAATTATGTATTGTCTGGCCTTTTACAGAAAAAGTTTGCTGACCCCTAGGGTAATCCTGATTCTTTCTGTCATGATACTTAACACATAGTGTTTTAATTGCCTCTCTCCCCTACTTTTAATAATATATATATATATATTTGTTTACTTTGAGAGAGAGAGAGGCAGAGGGAGAGTGCATGTGTGTGTGCAAATGCTTGAGCAAGAAGGGGAAGCGCTAAGAGAGAGAGAGAGAGAGACAGAGAGAGAGAAAGAGAGAGAGAGAGAGAGAGAGAGAGAGAGAGAGAGGGAATCCCAAGGAGGCTCCATGCTACCAGGGCTCGATGCAGGACTCAATCTTATGAACTATGAGATTATAGCCTGAGCTGATATCATGCCAAGAGGTCTTGTTGGTGAGGAAATTGAGAAACAGTGCCTTAATCTTTGGTTGCATTCTATGACCACCGCTTTACCCCACCCTCCACTCCATACTCCCAACTCAGCAGGACAAATGTAGAATATACAGTTATGTGGAGATATTTCTTTTGCATGTATAGTATTCATCTTGTCTTTTTTTAAATGTTTATTTTTGAGAGAGAGAGCAATCATGCATACACATGAGTGGGGAAGGGGCAGAGAGAGAGGGTGACATAGGATCTGACGTGGGCTCTGTGCTGACAGCAGAGAGGCAGATGTGGGGCTTGAATTCCCTGAACCTCGAGATCATGACTTGAGCCAAAGTCAGACGCTTAACCGACGGAGCCACCTAGGGGCCCCTTACTTTCTGTCTTCTATAAAGCCATTTCTTCATTGTGCTTACCATCTGTGACTTCCGGAAGATTAAACCACTCTAGAGCTGTTTGGTTACCTTGGTATAAAGATAGTAAGGTGAAGTACCAACCTGAGAGTCAGTAGACCTGGGTTCTCACTGTGACTCTTCAGCTGTCTTTGATTTGGGACACATCAGTTAACATCTGTGAGCTCCAGTATCCAACATGTTTTGATTGAGTCACATCTGGGACACTTTACACATTTAATATTTATATCCCTCCTTCATTTTGAAAAGGGTGTGAGCAACTAGTGAGTAACAGAGAGTTGACTTGTCTTGTCCATTCTCTGTCTCTGACCAGCGGTCACCCGAATGATTAAATGGATTGGAGTGTTTCAGGTCTTTGATCAATGCCTTGTAGAGGGCTCACAGCCACAGCTTCTTTACCCTGTCCTTGTTTTCTCTCCCATGACAGCTTCTTCCTTGGGAGTAATCTGAGGAGTTTTTTTTCTGGAGAGAAAGTATCAAGATGAGAGTCAACAGGGGGCGCCTGGGTGGCTTAGTCGGTTGAGCGTCTTAGTCGACTTTCGCTTGGGTCATGACCTCGCGGTTGGTGGGTTCGAGCTCCGCGTTGGGCCCTGTGCTGACTGTCAGCTCGGAGCCTGGAGCCTGTTTCAGAGTCTGTGACTTCCTCTCTCTCTGACCCTCCCCTGCTCGTGCTGTCTCTCTCTCTCTCTCTCCTAGAAATAAATAAAAACATTAAAAAAAAAAAAGATCAGAGTCAACAGGAAAGAGGAATTTTAGAATCTAAGAATTGGAAGACATACTATACACTTTACCAAAAATATCTTTTTCAGATAGTGAACTTTAGGCCTGGAGAAGGGACGTGACCCCACATGATAGAGCTAAGACTAGATGCCAGGCTCTGTCTGCTGTGTGTATGTGCATGGTGTTCCAGGGTTCTAAGAGAGGAGTAGGTGGCCCCGGCTCTCATGCTGGTTTTCATGTTACATGAATGACTGCGTTGGTGGGTGGAGGAAGCTGCAGTGTAGACCTCCCATGCTGTTGCACCCGGTGTGCTCAGGACCTTAGATGTCTGAGAGCTATTTGCTGACTGTAACTGTCTATAGGCAGGCATAGCATGTGAAGGGTTTCTCCAGTTAGTCTGTTGCTGGCATTATGTTATTATTACCAGCAGCGACAAAGTGAACGAAAAGGAAAACTACATATTATTTTGGCATTGCAGTGAACGGGCTATCTTCCTGTTTCTAGAAAGATTGTATCCACATGCATTTATTTATCGACTGATTAAAAATGATGATACTTCACTTGAATATGTATTTCTTTGCTTACTGGTAAGACTAAACTTGTTTTCCTGTGTTCACTGGCTATTTATATTTTTTTTGTGAGTTACCTATTTGTGTTCTTTGTCTAGATCCCCAAGTATTCCCAGCCTTATGCTTGACTTTCCTGCCAGGGTGCTATCAGGATAATAGAACATTGTCCTTGAATGGGGGAGCTCAGCACATCCTGGGCGAGTAAGTTGTAGGCTGGATGAAACACTTTTCTCGCTATTTGTAAATAGTATAATAGTTTATACTATTATATGTATACTATTATATATATATATATAAAATATAAAAATATATAAAAGTATATATATATATATATATATACTAATATATATAATAGTATACATAGCTATTTAAGTGGCTACGTGAGGATCGAGGTGCTAGAGGCTAAGGACACTGAGACAGGTGGGTAGCAGAGGCCGGCAGTGCCCACAGTAATGTTATCTGTTGCTTTTCCTGTTCAGAGTTTTGCCGGATTGACAAGCCCCTATGCCACAGTGAGGATGAGAAGCTCAGCTTTGATGCAGTCCGCAGCATCCACAAGCTGATGGACGACGATGCCAATGGTGATGTGGACGTGGAAGAAAGCGATGAGGTGAGCTCTCTCCCCCTGCCGTGGCTCTCTTCTCTTCCTGTGTGGACAGTCCCTGAAAGCTGCCTCTACACTCTTCCCCATGGAGAGATGTTCTTGATATTGCCTTGTGCTCTAGGAGCTCCCTCCTGTGAAGGGAGGTGATTCTCAGCAGAACAGCCCTATGGGAGCCAGCCTGTCCAAGTGCAGGCCTGCTGTCTGTGGCTGTGCCTGGACTGGCTCCCATCTGCCTACCAACTAGATGCACAACACTGACTGAGCTGTGCTGTTTGAGAGGAAGAGGGAGTCCCAAGGTCAGTCTCCACAGTTCTCCTGAACCCATATTGTAATCCTGCTGCAGCTGGAGGGCATCAGTCTGTACTTACTATGTGCTCAGCCCCATGTTGGCATGTAGGAGAGACGTCAAAACAGGCATTATCTTGCCCTTTGGGAGTTTATACTCGGAGGAAGAAACACATGTTCCTAGAAAGATCGTTCTGAATTCCAGGCTACAGTTGCTGGGAACTGGTTGAGTGGTCCAGATGGTAGGAGCGAGAGGAAACTCTAGATGGAAAAAGCTCTGTTATTGTTTCACCTTTTGGCAATACTACGGTTCCAACTCCACAGAGCCCAGAGTGGAAAGTCATCATGTGTGAAAAGATCGAAAGGTTTCCGTTGATTTCAAGCTCAACGTGGGCCAGCAGTTTGGTGAAGCTGCCAAGTTATGCCAAATCTTTAATAGTGATATGGTGTATGTCATGAGGGAGAGATAAGCCTAGTTTTGAGTTCAGTCTTGGATCTCACATTGTCAGAAGTGTTTGGAACAGTGCGCGCCTATACAGACAAGGGTGACCTGAATGCTGAAGGGCATGGACACTAGAACTTGGTATTTATAGGTACTTATCATGTATGTGCCAGGCACTGTTATAGACATGGGGATGTGGCAGTAAATAGGACACACATATCTGTCTGCCTATCATTTACAGTCTAGTGAAGAAACTTGAGCCTGGAAAAGAATAGATCCAGGTAATATAATTTCTATCTTCACATACGTTAGGAGTGGAGGAATCAGATTTAGATAATGACAATGATGGCAATGAAAACTGCAGCACTGGCTCTCCTTCATTGAATTCTTTTTTTTTTTTTTTTTATTCTTCAAATGTGTTTTTATTTTTTTTAAATTTTTTTCATTTTAAAGTTTTAATTTTTTTTTTTTTACAAATAGTTTATTGTCGAATTAGTTTCCATATAACACCCAG